ATAAATATATATAAATATATACACACTCCTACCTTTTGTCCTCTCATTTTATACTGATGAAAGGGAGATCTAGAAAGATGAGGCAACTTTCCTATGGCCATGGCCAGAAAGTCAGAGAACCTGGGTTAAAGCCATTGTTTTAAGATTTCAAAACTTGTTTCCTTTCTCACTATATCTCAACTTTTAAGTAGCTCTTTTGGTGCTTGATACATCATGAATGTCTGTCTTTTAGTTTCTTTGGCAGATAAATTCTTCTAATCTGTTTCCATCATCTTGTTGACAAATGACCTATTTATTGTGCCTCTAGAAGGCACCAAACCTAGTAAGTGACCTTGCTGTGAAAGTGTATTTGAAGTCTGAGCTATGTGGCAATTGTAGGCTTCTTTCTACCATGATTTCAGTTAATCCTTTCAAATGACTCTTGATAAATCAATTAAATAAAAATTTCTTGAGGCCTTTTTTGGAGTGGGCACTGTTTTAGTTCCCAAAGGCCTCCAGGTATGGAGGAAGCAGGCCCTTGGTTTGGAGGAACTCTGAGACAATATAAAAGGCATAGATGGGAAAGCTTAAATTTTGGAGTCAGACGGACCTGGGTTCAGTAAGTTGGTTTTCTGCTACTTATTAGCTGTGATATCTTGGACACGCCTTTTATTAGCTATAGTATTAGCTGCTTCCTATGCAAAAGGCAATACTGATAGTTGTTTGCCTGTTTATTGAAGCAATTAGATGAGATAGTGTGTGATAAGCATTCTGTGCAGTGCCTGACATACATATTATTTAACTGGGATTATGTAACACACCCTCATAAGCATTCGATAAAATATGGCTCTCATTATTATTTCTGTAATTGAACTAATAATTATAACTTTGTAAAATAGTTTATTTGAAACTATGAAATAGTCTCTAAGAAAACTAATACTGGTTCCTTAGGGGCAGAGTAAATAAGGATACATAGCTGAATTTCTTTCTTAATGGATTTTCTATTTTCATTTTTTTTTAAGATGAAAAGGAAGGCAACATGCTCTGGTACTTTTTTGGTTTTAAAAACCTGTTTTCAGATCTTTTTCAGAAGTTGTGGTATTGAACCATTGCTGAAAAATAGCAGCCACCCCAGTTTTATTGAGAAATAACTGATATGAATCACTATATAAGTTTACGGCTTACAGCATGATGGTCTGATGTACACATATGTGAAATGATCACCACAGAAGGTTCAGCTGACAT